AACTCTCTTTTATAGACAGGTGAAACTCTCCTTTATCAACAGGGTATACTCTCCTTTATCGACAGGTGAAACTCTCCTTTATCGACAGGTGAAACTCTCCTTTATCAACAGGGTATACTCTCCTTTATCGACAGGTGAAACTCTCCTTAATAGACAGGTGAAACTCTCCTTTATGGACAGGTGAAGCCCTCCTTTAGCAACAGGTGAAACTCCTTTATCAACAGGTTAAACTCTCTTTTATCGACAGGTGAAACTCTCCTTTATCAACTGACGAAACTCTCCTTTATCGACAGATGAAACTCTCATTCATCAAAAGGTAAAACTCTCTTTTATCAACAGGTGAAACTCTCTTTTATCAACAGGTGAAACTCTCCTTTATAGACAGGTGAAACTCTCCTTTATCAATAGGTGAAACTCTCATTTATCAAAAGGTAAAACTCTCTTTAATCGACAGGTGTAACTCTCCTTTATCAACAGGTGAAACGCTCATTCATCAACAGGTAAAACTCTCTTTTATCGACAGGTGAAACTCTCCTTTATCAACAGGTGAAACTCTCCTTTATAGACAGGTGAAACTCTCCTTTATCAACAGGGTATACTCTCCTTTATCGACAGGTGAAACTCTCCTCAGTAGACAGGTGAAACTCTCTTTTATAGACAGGTGAAACTCTCCTTTATGGACAGGTGAAACTCTCCTTTATCGACAGGTGAAACTCTCCTGAGTAGATAGGTGAAACTCTCTTTTATAGACAGGTGAAACTCTCTTTTATAGACAGGTGAAACTCTCCTTCATGGACAGGTGAAACTCTCCTTTATGGACAGGTGAAACTGTCCTTTATGGACAGGTGAAACTCTCCTTTATCAACAGGTGAAGCTCTCCTTTATCAACAGGTGAAACTCCTTTATCAACAGGTGAAACTCCTTTATCAAAAGGTCAAACTCTCCTTTGTCGACAGGTGAAACTCTCATTCATCAAAACCTAAAACTCTCTGTTATCAACAGGTGAAACTCTCCTTTATCAACAGGTCAAACTCTCCTTTATCAAAAGGTCAAACTCTCCTTTGTCGACAGGTGAAACTCTCCTTTATCAACAGGTGAAACTCTTATTCATCAACAGGTGAAACTCTCTTTTATCAACAGGTGAAACTCTCCTTTATCAACAGGTGAAACTCTCCTTTATCAACAGGTGAATCTCTCCTACATGGACAGGTGAAACTCTCCTTTATCAACAGGTGAAGTTCTCTTTTATTGACAGGTGAAACTCTCCTTTATGGACAGGTGAAACTCTCCTTTATCAACAGGTGAAACTCTCCTTTATCAACAGGTGAAACGCTCTTTTATCGACAGGTGAAACTCTCATTCATCAAAAGGTAAAACTCTCTTTTATCAACAGGTGAAACTCTCTTTTATCAACAGGTGAAACTCTCCTTTATCAACAGGTGAAACTCTCATTCATCAACAGGTAAACCTCTCTTTTATCAACAGGTGAAACTCTCCTTTATCAACAGGTGACACTCTCCTTCATGGACAGGTGAAACTCTCCTTTATCAACAGGTGAAACTCTCCTTAATCAACAGGTGAAGTTCTCTTTTATCAACAGGTGAAACTCTCCTTTATCAACAGGTAAAACTCTCTTTTATAGACAGGTAAAACTTTCCCTCATGGACAGGTGAAACTCTCCTTTATCAACAGGTGAAACTCTAGTTTATAAACAGGTGAAACTCTCCTTAATCAACAGGTGAAGTTCTCTTTTATCAACAGGTGAAACTCTCCTTTATCAACAGGTAAAACTTTCCTTCATGGACACGTGAAACTCTCCTTTATCAACAGGTGAAACTCTAGTTTATCAACAGGTGAAGTTCTCTTTTATCAACAGGTGAAACTCTCCTTTATCTACACTTGAAACTCTCCTTTATTGACAGGTGAAACTGTCTTTTATCAACAGGTGAAACTCTCCTTTATCAACAGGTGGCACTCTCCTTCATAGACAGGTGAAACTCTCCTTTATCGACAGGTGAAACTCTCCTTTCATCAACAGCCGAAACTCTACTTTATCTACACGTGAAATTCTCCTTTATTGACAGGTGACACTGTCTTTTATCGACAGGTGAAACTCTCCTTTATCAACAGGTGAAACTCTCCTTCATGGACAGGTGAAACTCTCCTTTATGGACAGGTGAAACTGTCCTTTATGGACAGGTGAAACTCTCCTTTATCAACAGGTGAAGCTCTCCTTTATCAACAGGTGAAACTCCTTTATCAACAGGTGAAACTCCTTTATCAAAAGGTCAAACTCTCCTTTGTCGATAGGTGAAACTCTCATTCATCAAAACGTAAAACTCTCTGTTATCAACAGGTGAAACTCTCCTTTATCAACAGGTCAAACTCTCCTTTATCAAAAGGTCAAACTCTCCTTTGTCGACAGGTGAAACTCTCCTTTATCAACAGGTGAAACTGTTATTCATCAACAGGTGAAACTCTCTTTTATCAACAGGTGAAACTCTCCTTTATCAACAGGTGAAACTCTCCTTTATCAACAGGTGAAACTCTCCTACATGGACAGGTGAAACTCTCCTTTATCAACAGGTGAAGTTCTCCTTTATTGACAGGTGAAACTCTCCTTTATGGACAGGTGAAACTCTCCTTTATCAACAGGTGAAACTCTCCTTTATCAACAGGTGAAACGCTCTTTTATCGACAGGTGAAACTCTCATTCATCAAAAGGTAAAACTCTCTTTTATCAACAGGTGAAACTCTCTTTTATCAACAGGTGAAACTCTCCTTTATCAACAGGTGACACTCTCCTTCATGGACAGGTGAAACTCTCCTTTATCAACAGGTGAAACTCTCCTTAATCAACAGGTGAAGTTCTCTTTTATCAACAGGTGAAACTCTCCTTTATCAACAGGTAAAACTCTCTTTTATAGACAGGTAAAACTTTCCCTCATGGACAGGTGAAACTCTCCTTTATCAACAGGTGAAACTCTAGTTTATAAACAGGTGAAACTCTCCTTAATCAACAGGTGAAGTTCTCTTTTATCAACAGGTGAAACTCTCCTTTATCAACAGGTAAAACTTTCCTTCATGGACACGTGAAACTCTCCTTTATCAACAGGTGAAACTCTAGTTTATCAACAGGTGAAGTTCTCTTTTATCAACAGGTGAAACTCTCCTTTATCAACAGGTAAAACTTTCCTTCATGGACAGGTGAAACTCTCCTTTATCTACACTTGAAACTCTCCTTTATTGACAGGTGAAACTGTCTTTTATCAACAGGTGAAACTCTCCTTTATCAACAGGTGGAACTCTCCTTCATAGACAGGTGAAACTCTCCTTTATCGACAGGTGAAACTCTCCTTTCATCAACAGCCGAAACTCTACTTTATCTACACGTGAAATTCTCCTTTATTGACAGGTGAAACTGTCTTTTATCGACAGTTGAAACTCTCCTTTATCAACAGGTGAAACTCTCCTTAGTAGACAGGTGAAACTCCTTTATCGACAGGTGAAACTCTCCTTTATCGACAGGTGAAACTCTCCTTTATCAACAGGGTATACTCTCCTTTATAGACAGGTGAAACTCTCCTTAATAGACAGTTGAAACTCTCCTTTATGGACAGGTGAAGCCCTCCTTTAGCAACAGGTGAAACTCCTTTATCAACAGGTTAAACTCTCTTTTATAGACAGGTGAAACTCTCCTTTATCAAAAGGTGAATCTCTCCTTTTTCAACAGGTGAAACTCTCCTCCTTTTTCTCATACTGTGAATTTTCACAGTTAATGGAATAATAAACGCATCAGACTCTGTGTGCAATATATAATTTAACTGTCATTATTTAATGAATCCTCAGGGGAAATTCTGCCTTGATCAAGAGAACCTCTGCAGTACTGAGGACGTGACCTGACACCTCTCGAGCCGCCAGACTAACTTCCATATTTTTGTCCGCATCAAAACTTGAACCAGTGACCCTTTGGTTCCCAACACAAGTCCCTGCAGACTGAGCTACTGCTGCCCCGTAATATTACATGAGACTCCAATATCGATAACCTATCACATCTTCCATTGTAACATCAAAACACTGAGTTTTTAAGAATTTTCTGAAAGGCTTTTTTGTCTTTTTGAATAAATCTGTATTTCTGTTCAGGCTTCTTCCATGGGAATGAGTTCACTTTTGAGGAAGCAAAACTTGAAGACGAATCCTGACCAGCTCTTTAAGACACAATATCGAAAGCAAAACTCAACACAGAAAGTCACACACGTCTTTGGTTTGACCTGAAGTTATTTGTAGGCGATAGTTTATTCTTTTCATGAGTTGTGCCGTTTCAATTCGGCCACTGTGCATGAACTGACTTTATTAAGATGTTTTTTTTTTTTTAAATAACTTATTTTTTTCTTCATCAGATAGAAATAAAACTACTTTCACCCATGGTAGTAACAAACAAGTGATTTATTGACCTCGCTGGTGGTGAGAGGAGAAGTATTCAGACCGTTCTTTAGACAGTATAATGTTCAAACATCAGAGCCAGACTGATGGCACTGAAACTACAGACCTATTACAGATCAGTGGGTGGGAACTCACTCCCAGAGTCTAAACGCAACGTCTGCCATATTGCTTGGAAGCTATGCTAACAGGCTCTGTGGAGAAAGATGAGAAGAACCGACGATGGCGGAAAGTATGTTTCAACTTCAAACTGATATGGATGAAGGGGATTTTGAAGGTCTTGTGCTCGAATCGGATGTTCATGGCTATCTCTACGAGCCGCAATATAGCCGGAGGAACAGGAGGCGGCTGCTGCAGCCGAGGCACAAGACCTGCTGTGCATTCTGGGATTTGGTGTCTTTCATCAACATGAGCCAAAAAGACACTTTCTGCCTTTTCACGGCCAAGAAGGCACCAACTTCAAAATGTATTTCACATTTCTACATATATGACCCAATGTCAGTACAGATTCATGTTTCAACGGGTGAAGTACCCCTTTAACTGAAGGATAAAAGGTTTTGTTTTTTCTCACTGTATATCAAGACACACAATTGGAATAAGAATATAGAACTAGAAATATATTGGTAGCCTGAGTTCATTAATGTGTCAATCCTTTTTTATGGCAACATGAAATACAGACTTTTAATGTTGTGTTCAAACATATCAGTCCAAACGTCCTGAGGGATTCGTGCGGAAGTTGACGCTGTCTGCTCCGAAGTTGATGATGTTTCTCAGCGCACTCAGGATCAGGCAGTCCGTGTCACTGTTGAGCTCGATTTCTTCAGAGTAGTTCTTCACAGGGAACATGCAGTTCATTGGGATTCCAACATCTGCACTGAACTGCTCCATCTGCGTGAATAAAAAGATCTGGTTACATTGAAACCTTGGTTCTCTGAGTGAAGAGACTATCTCTAGAGTTAAATATTCCATATGTACGGGGACTGACCCACTGGGGCAGTGAAGTGGATACTTCTTTAAGACACACCACTACATGGTCCATGAGCAGGGCCATCTGTGAGAGCGTGAGGGGTCGGCCTCAGCCACAGCCAATGCAGACTGGCTGGGATCAAGGGGATCTGAGGGACCATCTAGAGGCGTCTCGGCAGGGTAAGTTTAGATGAGGTAGACAAGCAAGCAGTGACCAGGGGCCACCCAAGCCCTCGTCTCAGTCCTGACAATATGCCACCCCGTGCCTGCTGCTGCCCCCTGTAGCCTTGTGCATCATGAACAGCCCTGGGGGTCTCCACACTGATGTACTGAGGTGTCTCCTGTGCCTGGGACTAGGCCCAAAGGGACACCTCCAGGCCAGGTGGCCAGTCACGACCCCCAGCCAACATCTCAAGACTTAAGTATGCTGGGTCCTCCACTGACACTGAGTCTGCAGGCCTATCGCATGCTGTTGGGCTGCAGGGGACCCGCAATTTCTGTGAACGATAGCTGCTGGAGTCCTACCAGCTGTTGCCGGTATCATCTGGCATGTGACTCCAGCTTTTCTGCCGAAGGTACCTGAGAATTATCCGACTTGTGGCGGAGTGCCAGCCCCTCAAGGATTTGTGCGGCCACCACATGTTCTTGTACATTTACCGCCTGGATGTGGCTACAGGCATGTTTTAAGGGGAATGGGTTCTTGGTGCCACCACCAATTTGAAGTATTATTTACTGTGCCCCTGTGGCAATTGGCTGACTGTGGTCGGGCCTTCTGAGTGACCTCTGTCCTGTCACACCCAACCTATGCGTCTTGAAGGGTGGGCCGTGCTTAAGTCTGGCGCAGCAGCATCGGGTAGTGTAATGCAGCGACTGGTGATGTCACTAGCCAATGAATGTGGGACGTGTATGTTTGTATTTTTTAAGGTACATATGTGAACAGCCAGGTCAGACATATTTCACGAGCAGTCCTCCTGACATTATCTGGAAATGGGGATCCAGACAAAACTCTGTAAAGTTTGATTATAACTTGTAGCAAAGGACTCATCTATGATTCCTTCTGTGAAAAGGATTTCTATCACTTATTAAACATACCTGATTCTTCAGGGAAGCAACCTTGTAGACATTCCTCAGATTTTCTTTGAGTTCAGGATATGCTTTATCAATCTTGGTTAGAATGACGACTTGAGGAATCCCTGATAGAAAAACAGAAAACCAGTGAGTTGCTGTTTGGAACTTCAAGAAAAAGGAAGTAAAACATTAAAATATTGGAAACCCCTTTGAGTGATATATTCTTACCCAGTTCACTGGCTTTCCCTCTAATCTCCCGAATCTGCTGCAGAGTGGCTTGATGCATCAGAGTTAAATTGTCAGCATTTATTACACAAACCAGAATGTGCACTTTGTCGTTGTCAGTTGGAGATTTGATGAAGTGTGGATCAGCATCTGACAGTTTAGATTCAATGTTGAACTGGAAAACACGTTTTTAATACAGTTGAAGGACACCGCTTTCATGTTATTTAATATAACAATACTTTTTGAGGGACAAAAACCAGAAAAGTTTCCAGATACTGAACCTTGTAACCTTCCTTCACGTGTCCCATCAAAGCCAGTTTGACATCGTCCACCAGGACTCCATTTACTGGGCTCAGACCCATGATGTCATTGAAGACAAAAGGGTAAAAGGACTTCTGGTCTCCTTTCTGGATCTTGTAGGCCGTATACTGATAAGGACATACGGAGAACAATGCAGTTAATTGTTGACGTAAGGAAAATACTGGATCCATTTCTCCTTCTGCAGCTGCAAAATTTCAAGCCAGAAAGTCATGGTCATCTGTCGTGTCTCATCGTGACTTAACAATTAAACACAAAGTCTTCATACCTTTTCGGTGAAACTGTATTTAAAGCCAGTGTCTGACAAGGCCTGAACGTATATTCTGCCATGTAAGACACTTTGGACGGAGTTGATGAAACTGGACTTTCCAGCTCCAACGGGCCCATGAAGAAGAATCCTGATCTGCTTTCCTTCAGAGGGAAGTTTGTAGCTTTCAACATACTGCAGAGGGGTCTGGTAGTCTCTGTTTTGGGAAGGAAGCGTTTCACAAGATTACAGACTTAACAGAGTTTCCATTTCTGTTTGACGCCCAGCTTCCATGAGAAATATGGAGATTTAATCAGAATGTAAGTGAAAAACAATCACATTGATAAGATGAAGGAACACTTACTTCCAGTTTATTGTTCTCCATGGTGTGGAAAGAACTGAAAAATACACAAGACAAGATGCACAGACAAGACAAAAAACTATCATTATGCTTTAACAACTTTTAATTTTCTAGACAAGGAACAATGTGTTAAAAAACAACGTCTTGCGTGGAGGTTCTTTAAGGCTTTATATGTGATATTTCACATTTAAATGTAATAGAAATCAAGTATATCCTCTGAAAATAACTCTGTGAGTCATGACTGTCTACAATGGGTGTAACACCCGAGCCCCACTGTCTGTGATGCTTTCAGAGTTTTCAGAGTCCTATCTTCACTTTGTTTACATCGCCGGGATGGCCGGCTGGCCGGCTGGCCGGCTCCTCCCCTCGCGTATAAAAGTTGTTTAATTGAGGGACTAGAGAAAAGAAGAATAACATACTGTACTCACTGCTTAACTGTGTTTCTAGATCACGCTCATTTCAGGTAAATTTACATGCAGTGTGAAGATACCAGCAGAATAAAGATTACTAGCATTAGCATGCTAACACAACAATGCACCGCAAGTTGTTTTGGTTTAATGCTGGTGCTCAAGGGCGACATCTGCTGGATCAAAACATCACATATAAAGCCTTTAAGGTTCTGCAGGTGCATTAGTTAAAGTTACAAATGATCGACTTCTAGCCTCAGACATGGGGGACACAATGATAGACAGAATATGTAAGCAATCGTGGACTCGGAGGCAGCATTCAAAAGACAGTCCTCTAATCCAGGCAGGGGTTCGGTACACAGAACTGGTGTAGTCAAGACCACTGAGACCAAGACCATACAGATCAGTGAAAAATCATCATCTTGTGTGCAGGGGGCATGTCACTCAATTAGACTTTAACACCAGGAATGTTTCGGCCGGGATAAAAATCAAATTATCTTCAGACCAAGGCCGATTTCGAGTAGTACGCAGGTCAGCAAATAAATAAAAAATACAGAGGGTTAGGCAGAGCTCAGTCTGTAGGGACTTGGGTTTGGAACCGGAGGGTCGCAGGTTCACGTCCTGGTGCGGACCATAATATGGAAGTTGGTCTGGTAGCTGGAGTGGTGCCAGGGCAAATCAGGGAGAAAAAATGCAAAAACACAACCTAATCCTGGGTGGAAACCGTGTAAAGTGAGCTTCTCTATGTGCTCGTCATGTTAGATCTTAGTGCTGCATTAGGCACGATTGACCATCACATCCTATAAAAAAGACTAGTACAGTTGCTTGGAATCACAGGAACTGCTTTAAGTTGGTTTGAATTCTACTTATCAGACCGATCTCAGTTTCTACATGTTAATGATGAGTCCTCTATGCACACCAAAGTTAGCCATGGAGTGCCACAAGGTTCAGTGCTTGGACCGATTCTCTTTACATTATATATGCTTCCTCTGGGAAATATTATGAGGAAACACTTCATAAACTTTCACTGTTATGCAGATGATACTCAGCTATAAGTATAAATGAAGCCTGATGGCACCAGTCAGTTCTGTAAACTAGAAGCGTGCCTTAAGGACGTTAGGACCGGGAGACAAAAAAATATTGTCATGCGTACACAACTTTTAATTGTCCCCAACAAGAAAAAAATGTGTTAACAAAAACAGCCTTACGTGGAGGTTGTTCATGTGTGGACTGCGTTCCTCCCATACCTGGAGAATAAAACAGTTCCAGTGAAACTCTTATTTCAGCTTTAAAATCATTATTTAACAGAGTTACTTCTGGACTTATTATCAAAGACAAATGACTCAGTATGCTGCGTCATAAAACAGAATACATTACAGTCAAAACTTGATCAAACCTCAAACTATTTCATCAAATTTATTGTGTGAATTAGAGGTTTGTACACTCACATTAAATCATTAAGACTCATATCAGGTGTTTAAAACTGATGTTGTAGTAATTACAAACACAGATGAGACAAAAAATTATCATCATGCTTCAGCAACTTTTAGTTTTCCAGACAAGAAACATTGTGTTAAAAAAAACAGTCTTATGAGGAGGTTCTTTTGTAGACCAATATCCAGTATATGAAACTATAGTTGTAATAATAATAATATAGAACGACGATGATAACACGCTGCACGTTGATGGCTTCTCCCCCCCCCCCTTTAAGACTTGATCGAGACAGTGAGCTCACTGGGAAACAACATGGCGGCGGCGTGTGTCTTTATGTAAACACACGCTGGTGCTCGACGATCGTCATGAGGGAGAAACTGTGCACCTCGGACTTCGAGCTTCTGGCTGTCTCCCTTCACCCTTTCTATCTCCCCAGAGAATTCCCACAGCTTTTTCTCCTCCTGGTTTACACCCACCTCAGAGCTAACGCAGCCACAGCCACTGAACACATCACAAACGTATTAAATAAACTGGAACTCATATCACCGGACTCTGCCAAATTCATCTTGGGTGATTTCAACCATTGCTCTCCTGAAAAAGCACTAAAAGGCTACCAGCAGTACATTACATGCAGCACCCACCTGGGGAAGACACTGGATAAATGCTATGGTTCAGTTCCTAACGCATACAGATCTGTTGCTCTCCCCCGTCTTGGCTCTGCTGACCACCATGCCGTCCTGCTTGCTCCTGCATATACTTGTTGAAAGTTGCTAAGAACATCAAGCAGTGGACCAACGAAAGCATTCTTACACTACAAGGATGCTTTGAATCCACTGACTGGGATAACCTCTTAGCCCTCTCCAACAACATTAATGAGCATGTGGACACTGTTTCATTGTACATCTCCTTCTGTGTGGACAACATCATCCCCTCCAAAACAGTCACAATCTTCCCCAACAATAAACCTTGGATCCCCAAAGAACTCAAGGAGGTCCTCAACAAGAAGAAAAGGGTCTTCTTCACCGGCTCTGAAATGGAGAAAAAGGAGGTAAACAGAGAAGTCAAGCACGCCATAAAAACTGCCAAACTCAAGTACAAGAACAAAGTGGAGGAAAAATTCACACAGGGGAACCTCCGCACTGCTTGGCAGGGCCTCAAAAACATGGCTGCTGTGAACACTGCTGATACCAACATCAAAACCATCGAGGCAGCAGCTCTACTTCTCTCCCCAACGATCTCAACTCATTCTACACCAGATTCAAGAAGGACAACACCACACAGCTGGAAGGAACAGTGTCCATGCTCAAGCCCAGTGACTCTGCACTCACCTTCAGCAGAGAGGATGTGGTGAGAGCAGCTCACCTGGTCCAGACAACATCAATGGCTGCATCCTGAAGCACTGTGCTGAGCAGCTAGGGGGCGTGTTTCAGACCCTGTTCCAGAGCTCTATGGACAGCAGCACAGTCCCCCAGCTGTGGAAACACTCCACAGTTATCCCCATCCCCAAGAAAAGCCCCGCCAAATCACTGAATGACCTCAGGCCTGTGGCCCTCACGTCTCTGGTGATGAAGGCCATGGAGAGGATCATAAAACCGACTCCCAGATGGACCCGCTACAATTTGCTTATCGTGCAGGCAGAGTTGTCGATGATGCAAAAACATTCATAATAGACACTGTTCAAAAACACCTGGAGCACCCCAACACCTCAGCCAGACTCCTGTTTGCAGACTTCTCTGCATTTAACACCCTGCAGCCTCACATCCTGGCTGACAAACTTTCAACTTGCTTCCATCTGAACGACCAGCTTATCCTGTGGATATTGGACTTTCTGACCAACAGATCAGAGCGTTCTGGTCAACAACACCTTCTCCAACCTCCAACACACCTCAACTGGCTCCCCTCAGGACTGCGTGCTCTCACCTCTGCTCTTCATCCTCTACACCGATGACTGCAGAACCACACAGCCAAACTGTCATCTGGTGAATTATGCGGACGACACAGTTCTCCTGTCTCTGCTGTCAGGCCCCTCTCAGCACCATGGACCAGTTCTTCAGGAGTTTGTGGAGTGGCATGACAGCTCCTGCCTCGAACTGAACGTGAGCAAGACCAAAGACATGGTGGTGACCTTCTCCAACAAGCAGAGGGAACTGGCTGCATCAGCAATCACCACAATCCATGGGAATCCTGTCGAACTAGTAGAGGAGTATAAGTACCTGGGTACCATCTTCGACAGCCTGAAATTCGCCTCCAACACCGAGGAGATTCTCAGGAAATGTCAGCAGCAAATATACCTCCTAAGGAAGCTCAATTCCTTTGGAGTCAGTAAGAACATTCTTCTGACCTTCTACTACTCCTTCATTGAGAGCATTATTATTTTTTCTATAACCTGCTGGTTCCACTCCACCACCCTCCAGAACAGAAAGCGCCTGCAGAGCACGGTCACAGTCTGCTCTAAGATCATTGGACTACCTGTAAGGACTTTGACATCGATCTATGAGCAACAGACAATCAGGCTAGCAGGTCGGATCATGCAGGACCCCTCACACGCTCTCTTCCCAGCGTTTGAGTGGCTCCCCTCAGGACGCCGGCTTCACTGTCCCTGCTGCAGGACACAGAGGAGAAGAGCAACCTTTGTTCCCAGGGCTGTCCAGCTCCTCAACTCCTAACCCCCCCCCCCAACAGACACCAACACCTCTCACCCAATGCAGACTCTCAGCTGTGAACTTCCTTTATATTGACATGCACCTTAACTGCCTCTGCTTTATCTGGTCTCATGCACTACATCACTTTATTCGATCCCTTTTTCACTACTGCACATAGTACTGTATATATATATTCATTTCTCGTTTACTGCATATAGTTCTGTTTACATCTGGTCCCTACTGCACATAGTACTGTATATATATATTCATTTCTCGTTTACTGCATATAGTTCTGTATATATATATTTATTTCTCGTTTACTGCACATAGTTCTGTATATATATATATTTATTTCTCGTTACTGCACATAGTTCTCTTTACATCTGGTCACTACTGCACATAGTTATGGTTACATCTGTTTACTTCTGTTTGTCCGATCACTGTCCACTTATATCTACTCTTTTATATTTTGTATTTTTAAGTTAAGTTTAAGCTTTAAGTTGTATTTAAATTGACACTTATATTTAGGTTAAAATGTTTTGTTTACTTGCACTGTTGTTAATTTACTGCTCTGTGTGCCTTTGAATTGCCCCCCGGGGACAAATAAAGTTTTTTGAATTGAATTGAATTGAATTGAACAGATAGCACAGAATAATAAGAGAAACTTCAAACCTCAGTTGTTGTTCCAGTGGCTGAATGAGACTGGGACTACCCACACTCTTCGACTGTGCATCAATTTCTAACAGCAACAGGATTTTATTTTTCCTGGTCTCAACTGTCAAATGAAAATCCAGAAGCCTGAGCCAGTATTTATCATCCTCGGAGTATCAGAAGGGCCGAAAGGTTTGCAAGTTGCACAACATACCTTCTAGCTTCTGGGTTTTCTCACTGCCACAGAAACTCTTTTGGAAGAAGAAAGAAGTGCCTACTTTAAACTGTGGCTAACTGAGTTGACAAATACACTTCACTTAGAGATCATTAGATTTATTCTTAAAAACAAACTTGAGAGATTTGAAAAGATTTGACCTGCCTTTGAGCTGGAATAATCAATTGAACTTTGTACATGCAATGTCAGGTGACACATCTACTGTAGGTAGGGTTGGGAGTGGAGCGGGGGTGGGGATTAGTTTGTTCATGTTCTATGGTTTACTTTGTACTCTGACTCTCTCATCACCTACTACCTTTTTATTGAGCCACATGATGCACATATAACACCTGCCATCATAATATCAAAACACTGAATCAGGAAATATTTAATCAACTGAATTTAGCTTCTTGTGGGAATACATTTACACACAGTATTCAATCCCAAACAGCACTATAAAGAAAGGCTTGCCTCAGGATGAGCCTGATCCCTGCTGTAATAACAGCCCTCAAGAGTGATAACTCTTCGCTGTTGTCTAACTCTCTTTGTGTTTCACTCTGTGTTTTGTATATGTATGTTCTTTGGTGGGAATGTTCTGTTCTGACAGTAACAGTGCTGTGAAAGAGAATTTCCCCATGGGGACAATAAAGTCTAAAGTCTATAAAACAAGCCCACCTCTGAAGCTCACTCAAATTCACCTTTGACTGCAAACAGAGCTGGCCAATCGGAGAAAAGTGGGCACGAGGGGAGGAGGGGGGCCTTAAAGAGACAGCAGCAGCAATGAAATCGGAATTAGGTCATTATCGGTATCGGCCATCAGGAGCAGGTCATATCGGCCATCAGGAGCAGGTCATTATCGGTATCGGCCATCAGGAGCAGGTCATTATGGTTATGGTATCGGCCATCAGGAGCAGGTCATTATCGGTTATGAGTATCGGCCATCAGGAGCAGGTCATTATCAGTTATCGTATCGGCCATCAGGAGCAGGTCATTATCAGTTATCGTATCGGCCATCAGGAGCAGGTCATTATCAGTTATCGTATCGGCCATCAGGAGCAGGTCATTATCAGTTATCGTATCGGCCATCAGGAGCAGGTCATTATCAGTTATCGTATCGGCCATCAGGAGCAGGTCATTATCATCGGCCATCAGGAGCAGGTCATTATCGGTTATCGGTATCGGCCATCAGGAGCAGGTCATTATCAATTATCGGCCATCAGGAGCAGGTCATTATCAGCTATCAGTATCGGCCATCAGGAGCAGGTCATTATCAATTATCGCATCGGCCATCAGGAGCAGGTCATTATCGGTTATTGGTATCGGCCATCAGGAGCAGGTCATTATCAATTATCGGTATCGGCCATCAGGAGCAGGTCATTATCAGTTATCGGATCGGCCATCAGGAGCAGGTCATTATCAATTATCAGTATCGGCCATCAGGAGCAGGTCATTATCGGTTATCGGTATCGGCCATCAGGAGCAGGTCATTATCAATTATCGTATCAGCCATCAGGAGCAGGTCATTATCGGTTATCGGTATCGGCCATCAGGAGCAGGTCATTATCAATTATCGGCCATCAGGAGCAGGTCATTATCAGTTATCGGTATCGGCCATCAGGAGCAGGTCATTATTGGTTATCGGTATCGGCCATCAGGAGAAGGTCATTATCGGTTATCGTTATCGGCCATCAGGAGAAGGTCATTATCAATTATCGGTATCGGCCATCAGGGGCAGGTCATTATCGGTTATCGGTATCGGCCATCAGGAGCAGGTCATTATCGGTTATCGGTATCGGCCATCAGGAGAAGTCATTATCAGTTATCGGCCATCAGGAGCAGGTCATTATCAGTTATCGGTATCGGCCATCAGGAGCAGGTCATTATCGGTTATCGGTATCGGCCATCAGGAGCAGGTCATTATCAATTATCGTATCGGCCATCAGGAGCAGGTCATTATCAATTATCGGTATGGCCATCAGGAGCAGGTCATTATCATTTATCGGTATCGGCCATCAGGAGCAGGTCATTATCAATTATCGGTATCGGCCATCAGGAGCAGGTCATTATCAGTTATCGGTATCGGCCATCAGGAGAAGGTCATTATCAGTTATCGGCCATCAGGAATAGGTCATTATCAGTTATCGGTATCGGCCATCAGGAGCAGGTCATTATCATTATCGTATCGGCCATCAGGAGCAGGTCATTATGGTTATCGTATCGGCCATCAGGAGCAGGTCATTATCAGTTGTCGGCCATCAGGAGCAGGTCATTATCGGTTATCGTTATCGGCCATCAGGAGCAGGTCATTATCAATTATCGTATCGGCCATCAGGAGCAGGTCATTATCGGTTATCGTATCGGCCATCAGGAGCAGGTCATTATCAATTATCAGTATCGGCCATCAGGAGCAGGTCATTATCGGTTATCGTTATCGGCCATCAGGAGCAGGTCATTATCGGTTATCGGTATCGGCCATCAGGAGCAGGTCATTATCAATTATCGGTATCGGCCATCAGGAGCAGGTCATTATCGTTATCGTATCGGCCATCAGGAGCAGGTCATTATCGGTTATCGTATCGGCCATCAGGAGCAGGTCATTATCGTTATCGTATCGGCCATCAGGAGCAGGTCGTTATCGTTATCGGCCATCAGGAGCAGGTCATTATCGGTTATCGTTATCGGCCATCAGGAGCAGGTCATTATCGGTTATCGTTATCGGCCATCAGGAGCAGGTCGTTATCGGTTATCGTTATCGGCCATCAGGAGCAGGTCATTATCGGTTATCGTTATCGGCCATCAGGAGCAGGTCATTATCGGTTATCGTTATCGGCCATCAGGAGCAGGTCGTTATAGGTCATCATCTCAACAAAATTTAGATCGTGCGTCCCTAGAAATACTTACAGTTTTAAATACCACAAAACTTCAAGAGAAACAAAATAATAAAACACCATCACAGTTAGACGTCTCAGCTCGCTGATATTTTATTCTTTAACAAGAAGTCTGAAAAACAACCGGATCTGGATTAATCACATTCAGATTTTAAAACATGAAACAGATGTTGAGTTTAAAGAGTTTTCAGACAGACAGTAAATCAGCAGCTAAAATATCATCCCCCATCCTTGTTCTGCATAGGTGAGATATTACAAACACAAAATATGATAAGCATCTACGATCCGTTTCAGCGTTAATACTTAAAGGAAGAATGTTCAACATGTTCCACATAAATAAATCATAAAGTCTGTCCTGTGTAAATGTGTCTCTGAGTCCTGACTGTCTGCAATGAGGGAGAAGCTCGAGTCCCGCTGGCTGTGTTGTTGTCAGAGCCGTGTTTACATGGACGGGACGGCCGGCTCCTCCCCTTGTGTATAAAAGCTGTTTTAGTCAAGAACAAGAGAGAAGAAGAAGAACATACTCACTGATTATTTGGATGTTAGTAAGAGTTTTTAGATCACGCTCATTCTGTGTCAGTTTACATGAAATGTGAAGCTACAAGCTAACTAAAGAGCGCTAACATTAGCATGCTAACACAACAATGTGAAGCTACGAGCTGACTAAAGAGCGCTAACATTAGCATGCTAACACAACAATGTGAAGCTACGAGCTAACTAAAGAGCGCTAACATTAGCATGCTAACACGACAATGTGAAGCTACGAGCTAACTAAAGAGCGCTAACATTAGTATGCTAACACAACAATGTGAAGCTACGAGCTAACTAAAGAGCGCTAAAATTAGCATGCTAACACAACAATGTGAAGCTACAAGCTAACTAAAGAACGCTAACATTAGCATGCTAACACAACAATGCAGGACACAGGTGATTGCAGCTCGAGCTACGGATAATTATGGTGCGCTCTAATGAATAACTCCGTTATGTGAGTGTAGAGGGGTTGGAGGTGTGTCTCTGGAGGAGAGCGGAGCCTTCAGTATGTAGAGGGCGTGGCCTAACAGAAGTTTGTTTTGGTTTCATGCTGGTGCTAAAGGGCGACACCTACTGGATCAAAAAGTCGCACATTCTTCCTTTAACATTACGGCTAATAATCAAATCTGCTATGGAGAACATGGATGGGACTTCAGGAGCCACACTGTAGAGAACTATTCAAGCAACCGACTTCAGAGAAAGATGAAAAATAACGACAATCAGGAAAATAATAAATCCTTGCTTTGCAGTAGGGTCCTCATGGCGTTGCTCAGGCCTCGATAATGTGAATCAGCTTCTAATGCAAAGCTACGAAAGCGTCCAACACTGAAATACAGAAGAAGTCAATGATTCTGTTGATGTGTTTTTTCAGCGTGTGATTTGTTTCCTTGCTGCTGGTCTCTGATGCGTCCTGTTCCCTGCGTTACAGCGTCACTCTCAGGTTTATGAAAATGTTGCCGCAGCGCTGACGAATCAAATCTATGTTCTCGTCTAGATTGCTTTTTTCTTCTTTTTTTTTTGGCATGTGCAGGTTGGAAGCTTTCCTTAGAGGCAGTGTGGGCGTTCAGCTCAACGATTTTATTTTTATTCCCAAGAACTGTCGGCAGGTTTGACTGACAGCTCACCTCAGGTTAGAGGACAACCACCCACCAAATGTAGAGTGCTGACGACGGGCCGCTCTCCATCAGGGTTTCTACAGCTACATCCTGAAAATGACTGGATGCCCTTTTTCATACAGCTGAAGGAGAGTGGTGGAGGTGTGTGTGTGTGTGTGTGTTTGTGTGTGTGCGTGTCAGTGTGCATCCAACCGTGGTGAGAGGATAATGGGAAAGCAAAGAGCATCATTACCTCTCTCCATGCTGCTCTGCACCTCTCGCCTCCCCCATGAACCTCTGGGAAAAGACGGAGTGGACGCTGTCACTTTGTCGCTTTGGATCTGGACTTTTTCTCTGCTTTTAATTCAACATGAATTTTAAAAGATGATTGTTTTTATTGCCGTTTTTTTAAAACTAAATGTGAGCACTATCTAAAGCAGTAGCAGCATGCACAGAGGAAGGTCTTTAAAAACAGCTGTGGAGGTCAGAGCCGGCCCGAAGCAGACAAGACAGAAGGGATTTTAAATATTGGAGCTTTTGTTTTCTATATTGTATTTCTTAAAGTTAAGACACATGTAAGGATTGCATTTTCTGTTGAATGGCACTGTACAACATCGACTTCCAGTTTGTGATATTTTTATCAAACACAGAAAGATTCGGCCACATTTGTTGTTTCTTGTTATATTTTTGT